GGGAAGGGCCGAGGCCCCTCTGGATCGAAACAGGACAAAGCTCAGCTGTAAAACCCGTCCCTAAAATTCCAGCTGCTCCTTCCCTGCGGATCCCAGGGCAGCTCTTCCCGGGAGTTGCAGCTGTGCCCAGACATTCCCAACACATGGTCAGGCCATGGGTTTTTGGGAAGGGCTGTGGAGACTGGAGGGATTTATCCTGGTGATATAACCAGATGTCCCCAGTGGGATCCCCCTTCCCAAGATTCCTGGAGAACGGGATTCCTAGATATTTGCTAACCTTTTCCATAGGCAGAGGGTGTCAGGGAAGTGAGGAGAATCCCACTGCTCCATTTTTCCTCCCTAAACACTGAACTCCTGCCCTCCTGGGCACTGGAAGCACGGCAGGAGGACCCAGGATCCCAGAGGAGCTCCGTGTTATCCCGCCCCATCCCGGATCCCTCCCGGCAGCGACAGGAGGAGGCAGGAGAGAGGGAGAGAGGCATCAGGAATTTAATGTTCTTGGCACTGGAACTGTACAAGACATTTACAGAGCTGTCCATGTGCACCCTCCTCCCCTCTCCCAACGGCCACACACGGCACAGGCCACGCAATTCCAGGCGCTGGGATGGTGGGATTTCCAGGTGGGATTTCCGGGCCGGATCCCCCGCCTGGCTCTCTGGCAGTCGGAGTATTTACAACATTCCTCTCCCTACACCTCAAACTCTTCCTCTTCTCTACCTTTCTACCACATGCAGGAATCCCCTGGGTTGCCCCTCCAGTCCTGCCTTCCCACGGGAAGGGGTTTCATTCCCACGGGAAGGGGTTTCATTCCCAAAAGGCAACGGTAACACAAAAATCTACCTCCGCTCGCTGCTACTCCCCTCTACTGCTCCTCTCCCCCTCCCAAAACCCTCTACAACGTCCCTACAACCTTCCTACACCCTGGAGGAACTCCCTCCTCCTCCCTCAGCCTCTGGATTGCTCGTTCCATGGGGAATGCTGTGGATGCACACACACACACATCCCTCCCTTCCGGAGCACGAAGGATCGAGTAACTGGGAAGGAAAAAAAAATAATGCCAAGTCTGGACAAACAAAATACAAAAAGTTAAAAAAAAAAAAAAAGGGGAAAAACCCCCAAAAGGAAACAAAAACAACAAAAAAAAAATCCCAAATCCCAAACTTGACACAACAACAACAACAACAAAAAAAAAACCTACTGAAAACAAAAATAATTAAATAGTTGGCAGGATCCAAGAGCGAAAACGAGGAATGTACAAAGGGAAGGTGAAAAGATTCCAGTAGGTAAATGGAGAACCTGTTGGACCTGGGGGCTGGGTTTGGGGTTTTTGTTTTTTTGGTTTTTCCATGGAAATCTGCGTGGGTTGCCACAACACACAAAGTGACTCCACTTTGAAAGGCTCTCCCCCCTCCAGGAAATCCTTCAGGAGGAGAGCCCAGCTTTGGGATTTGCCTGAGGGTTTTTCCCTGTGTAAAAACCAGCCCCCCGAGTTGAACACCAAGTAGCTGCCATTCCAACAGAACCCCGGGATCTGCCCCGACCCCACAAATGTCCACGGCGTTATTTATAAATAAACAGTTTTCCCTCCGGGAAGGAGGGAAGGAACCCCCTCCAGGGCTCCTCTTCTCCCTACACCAGCGTTTCTTTCCGCTTCTCCCTGGATCTCCTCAGCCCGGCCGAGGCTCTGGGGGCTTTCCCCCCTGCTCTGGATTCCCCCGAGTCCAGGCCGGAGGCGCCCTCGTCCAGCTCCATGTGGGATATCCCGGAGCGGCGCCGGCGGGCCGGGACGTTGGGCACCGAGGGGTTGTTCTCCTCGGATTCCTCGCGCAGCTCCGGCAGCTCCTGGAGCTCGGAGGGGGCCGTGGAGCTCTGGAAGGGGGCCGTGGAGCTCTGGAAGGGGGCGATGGCGCCGCGGATGCAGTTCACCCACTGCTGCTTGTGGAACACGTCGTTGGCCTGCAGCGTGTGGGAATGGCCCGGCCCCGAGTCCTGGAATCGCACCCGGAAGATGTTCTTGGCTGGAGAGAACGGGGGGGAAAACACGTCAGAGATTCCATGGGAGCCTCTGCTTTGGGGGAAAGTGCCTTAAACTGAGACAGGAGCCAGGCCTGAAAGAGTGAACTGAGATGTCTTGGCCTGCTAAGGGAATCTTCTGCTGTTAAAAGGAAATTTTTGTCTTCTGTGGGGCAGTCAGTTCTCCTGTTCCACGTCAGGGCATCAGTTTTACCTTGGATTAGGATGGCAGCAGCTACCAGGGAGGCTTCACTGTCAAGCCTTGGAGAGCTGCTGTTATGAATCCAGCCCTGCCAGCAGCACTGTCCCTGGACAGACA